CTCCACAGTCAGAAGCCAATCTCCCAACTGGAGGGGACCCTGGCTTGGTGACCAGGGGGTCAACACCGGCAGGTCAGGAGTGCCGGACCTCACAATCTCAACTCCTCGGACCATGCCAGTCTCATTCTTTGTCTCGTTGACCTTCTTGTGTAGGTCCTTCATAGTTTCCATCATAATCACCATGAACTCCAAAGATTTCTCAGTGAACTGCGCATTCCCTCCACCAGGTGCACCTCGGCTTCCTTCTTCTTGGGGACGCTGTGATGCTTCCACCTTTGGGGGTCTGGCAGCCTCCTTGGGGGTTTTGAACTCTGCAGCCTCAGGTAGGAATGGGGGTCTGGCAGCCTCCTTTGATGGGGGTCTGTCGGCCTCCTTTGATGGAGGTCTGTCAGCCTCCTTTGATGGGGGTCTGTCAGCCTCCTTTGATGGGGGTCTGTCAGCCTCCTTTCGCCGCTTCAACCAATCCACATCCATGTCGAAACCTGGGCTGGTCTGATCCGGCTGTTCCTCAGGAGTCGCAAACCTAGGTTCATCCTCAGTCTGCATCTTGCTAGCACTTTCAAACCTGGCTCTCAACTGACGGTTCTCTTCTACCAACAGTTGAATCTGCCTTCTACATTCGTCTTTCTCCTCTCGGTCTCTCACTGCTTGCATTCTCAGAAACTCCATGTCTCTTTCATGTTGACTCACTGAAGCTCTGGCTGCATCTCCATCCAAAAATGAAGGACGTGAAAAACCAATTGGATTGAAAAACGACTGTTGGGGCCCATACATCCATGCGGCTTGTCCCTGCAGTGCAGCAAAGTTTCTCAGCTGCTCCTCGGTGAACAACGGGGGTGCCATGGATTGCCCTTGCACTTGGTTTGCATCATCTCCTGCTTGTTGTTCAGGGGGAGTTGCAATCTCCCTCATCAAAGGTCCACCATTGAAGTTGCCTTCACCCTTGTCGGCGGGCGTATTCTTCTCAAGGGAGTTCACCACCTCTTGACGTAGAGAAAGGGCAGGAGGATCAGGAGGAGGTTGTGTAGGCGGCAACAACGCTTTGGCACCTGAACCCTGATTGGAATTCCTTGCAGGGGTACCTCTTTGAGGTTCATCTCTCTTACCCTCTTTCGGTGGAGACGTTTCCCCTTCTACAACATCCTCAGGTTTTTCTTCAGGTCCGTTTTGTATAGGCATCTCACCCCTACTCTCAGCCTCTGTTTTCATTCTTTCATCAGCTAGTCTTATCTCCTTTTGACACTGCTCCATCTCTTCTTTGGTGGCCCTTCTCCTATGGAACTCACTCATCTGCCCAGTGAACCGCTTGGGCTCATAACCTGGAAATGTCCAGGTCCCAAATTCCAGGTTCTCCGCACCTCGTCCACGTTGCAAGCAGCCGCCTTCTCTGTTTTCACGGCAGCAGCTCGAGTGTTTGAGCTTCAAAAGGGCAGCTACGTCGACTGCAGTTGGTAAAAGGGTTCAGTGACATGTCAATTGGTGCAACATGTCTGAATTAAATGTACAGATCTACCAAAGTATGAAAAACAGGGTATGCCGTTCTGCAATCACAATCCATGAGCTGGGAAATCCGTTCTTAACCAGCCAGTAAAAAAGGATAATTAGTAGGTATTAACATGGAAACATGTGGGATCTATTGGGATATGAATGGATATAAATGGATATGAATGGGGATATGGGATATGATGGAACATATATGAACATATCGACCACCATATTGGGTATGGGTCATTAAATGTCCCCATTGAACATCACCCAACCATTAGGTATATGGTCTATAATGGCTACTATAATAAGGTGATGTCCAATATACCCAAAATGGGACAGTTACCAACCCCTGATGGGTGGAATAACTCACAAAATTGGGACCAAAGCAGGAAAAATGGCGTGTTTAACAAAGAACAATCAAATATAACCTATCTGGGTTTGCTCAAAATGGTGGAAGCACCCTCAAATAAAAATCATTGTTATTTTGTCATGGAAGGCAATGATCAACCGTGAGATTTTTGGGTGCACTGTACCCTGTTTTCAGACACAACACATAAACGTGTATATATATATATGAATACACTAGGCAATGCAACTACTATGCTGGGTGATGTTGGGTGAATAGCATTTTTTGTTGTTGATGATTGAATCTGCAGCCAATGAGCCAGCGATCGAGATCGTGGGGGGAGATTCCGAGAATCAAACATGGTTTGGTGGAAAATGTTCCCTGTATATTGACCTAGACCCTCCAAGTGCCATTAAAAATGATGTTTTACCCTATAATTATCATAATTATACTACTTTTTCCAATTTCTTTAAGGTATTTGGATGCTTTTCAGGAACTTCTAGGTATAGTTCATGGAGTTTTTTTCAGCAACTAATAACCTCAACTATGCATGGTACAAAAATACAAAAATATGGACGACCACCGGGACAATGGTCCCAGCATTTCCCAGCCCGGAGCCCGGAGGTTTAAAACCTCAGCTGGCTACTCCACCGAGGTTGGGACGGTGTGGCGATCCGTTTGAAAAATCCGAAAAGGATATGGATATCTCAAGATTGGCGATTCAGACATACCCTCTGGTAAACTAACATAGCTATTGAAAATTGCCATTTATAGTGGATTTTCCCATTAAACGTGGTGATTTTCCATAGCTATGTTAAATTACCAGAGGGTTTTCAGAAAATGTGTTTGAAAAATCTTTAAAGTGATGTTATGAAGGGAAAAAAAACAAGAACACTCAGTGTGCTCCAACAATTTTGACCAGGACGTTGTTGAGATTTGGTTGAATCGACAGGCAAAGCAATGGGATTCAGAATTTGAAACCGTTGCGACCAAACAAGGCTATATCGAACAGTCCCGTTTTGACCCTCACGTGGATGCCACAACCGAACTGTATTCAGACCTGAGCTTTAACCCCATGTGTATTCCATTTTAAGTATGAGATTTAACATGATTCAACTACATTAACCCATGGTTTTCCCATGGGAAAACCTGGCAGATTTTGTGGAAAATCTTGGGATCCTAGGAGGCGATCGATCCGCGGATGGAGGAATTGGAACAGCAGATGTCACGACCACCCAGTGGTAGAGAAACTCGCGACGAGTTTCCGGTGAAAACACGTTTTTTTTCATATTTTTCCATGGATTTCCAGGGATTTTGCTGAACATGGGAGACTTATAGATTTTTATAGATTTGATGTATGGCAATTTTTGGGGCTTCAACATGTTGATGAGAGAGTAAACTAAGAAATTCAAAAGTCGGTACATTCAGCATGATGCAGACTCTGTTGTTTACTCCATGAGCCTTCCTTCTTTGGAAAGCGTTCCGAGGTATGACGTGGCCATGGAGTGGGGATGCCCATGGGCATCCCAATGGGTAGGATGTGGAAAACATAACTGACCCAGATGTACATGCATCATGGAGTGAATTCTTAGGGTCTTAGGGCCAAGAACAAACCCCTCCCAAGCAACCAAGGCTTCTGCAAGAGAAGCGCGTCTTGGCGGAGATACAAAGCCTTCAAAGACAGAAAGAAGAGGTGCTGGGACTGTTGCGCCGGCCATGGGGCTCTCAAGATACTAAGTACTACGTAGTTATCGTAGTTTGTTGTCCGCACATGGGAATTCACCCAAGAGACGTAGGGGGAATTATGGTTGAATTATGGTTGATTGCTGATAGATAAGTCGGTTTATGTTTGGGTTTACTGTGATTTATGGCAAGTATATCTACAGGTCTTCGATCAAAAAAACAACCCTTGAGTTACTGCCCGTTTCGGCTCGAGTTTGTCTTCAATGATAAGATGCAAAGAAAGTTAGAAATTCAAGAAGTTATGCAGAGTTAGAGTTTGACTATTATTGCAATTATAGACTTAAATGTTTCACAGTAGTGTGGCTTATAAATCTAAGAATTGGCTGCTTTGTAAACCACAGTTATGTGTTTTGCGACCAATGATAGAACAACGGTCGCCTGCAGCCTCTGGCTGATTTGAGCGATGGAAGCCTTGAAGCTTGGACGGCATCTGCCACGTTTTTTTCGGACGTACCATAGACGGTCCCCCAAAATGAGAAGTTTCTGTTGTTTTTGAAGTAATTACTAAAATCAATGATACTATAGTTCGTAAATGGGTTTATAACACTAAGTACCATGTATATATAAACCCATTTGATAACTTTCAACAACTAAAATTGTCCGATTTACATGGTACTACAGTTGAATGGCTTATGAAACACATTTACAACTGGGGCCCTTTGGGCATGATAAAGACATGGAGTTACCCTCTACACCTCTCCAAACAAAGTGTCAGTTTTGGAGGGAAAATCACCAAACTAAATGGGTGATTTTCCAACCAGCCGCGGTAGTGGAAAACACTATCGGGTTGCACCAGCAGAAGGAAAGTGACGGCTTAGGATATAGTTTTACCGTGGTGATGCCACGAGTACCATTGAGAAACGGTTAGCTATATGGCTTTTCCACGTCACGCTGAAGTTGGTACCGCCTCAGCCATTTTGGACTCGCTGGGCTGGGACGGACTTGGCCGACGCAGGCACTCGTTTCCTGGAGATGGGAACTGGAACCACGCGGCTCCATTGGATCTCCAGAACATATCAGCAGAATTCAATTCCAGTGTGGTACATCAGCACAATTTTAGGGATACATGACCTAACCTTAACGGTATAACATGGTATACCACCCTATACAAATTTGGTCATTTTACACCAGTTGCTGCGGCAAAATCACCCGTTTTCACTGCTGAAAAAACACCGGTACGACCGCCAGGGCGGCGTGCGGTGCTCCATGAGGCCGGGCGAAGCCGAAGCCTGTTCTCCCGAGCCCTGGTTCATCATGGTTGATGAATAAGGGAAATCATCCCCAAATGGCCGAACTATTCAGGTTAGTGAAATGTTATAATTTACCCAGATTATCCCAGATTGATGCATTTAAGTGCTGCAGATCCGGTGACTATGGCCAGAGCCAGAGCGACAGCCGGCGCTTGCAATCGGCAGGTGCTGCCATGAGGGATGCTGTTTTTCCCGGATGGCAGAATCAGAAGTCCATCAATCAACTGGTCAATGTAAAGTCAAAGATCTCGCAGCGTTGCTAGTCGTTCAGAGAAACAATCTGAGAAACAGGCCTTATATGGAATTTACTTGATTCAGTGCAAGTATTGGCCCCGAAAATTTGGATGCTACATTCACTGCTTGGTGGTTTGGAACATTTTTTATTTTCCCATATATTGGGAAGGATAATCCCAACTGAAGAACTCATATTTTTCAGAGGGGTAGGTTAACCACCAACTAGTTATATGTAGTTATATGTTGACGATATTTTCTTTGATGTTGGTGATCTTCATATATTATGTAGTGATTCACCAATTGGCCATATATATATATATTATAGTGAGGTTAGCCACCAACCAGATTCAGATTAATAATCATCCCATTTGACTTTCATATTTTTCAGAGGGATTGAAACCATCAACCAGTTCAGATTGTGTATATGATTCACTTTCCAGAACAAGATGTTGACTCACCCTTCACATCGAAGCCATGCTGGTCCCTGGGTGTCGCGGCATGATTTTGTTCCATGTTTCCAAGGCGGTCTGTTGAGGCCTAGGCTAGGAACCCCTGATTTTCCTTTGGCAAACTGAGGGGTTCCACAAATGGGGTACCCCAAAATGGATGGTTTATATTGGAAAATCCTATTAAAATGCATGATTTGGGGGTATCCCTATTTTAGGAAACCTCTAAATGTGTTGCTCATCCAGGCACTACAACTGATTGTTGGATCAAGAGTATAATTATACTATAACGGGAACTATGTCAAAGACTATAGTCAGTAAGCATATGGTGTAAGTGGGAGTTGCCAGTTTACCACCCAAAAAAATTACTTTACTTCGTGTGATCCCCACCATGACATTTATACATTTGCTTACTGGCAAATCTTCTGGCATTCTATCTGACACATCTTCTGGCATTCTATCTGGCATTCTATCTGGCATATCTTCTGGCATATCTTCTGGCATTCTATCTGGCAAATCTTCTGGCATTCTATCTGACATTCTATCTGGCATATCTATCTGGCATATCTCATGGCATTTTATCTGGCATATCTGGCATTCTATCTGACATTCTATCTGGCATATCTTCTGGCATTCTATCTGGCCGTTGAGGTCCAGCGGTGCACACTGAGCTGGGCAGGTCCCAGGTTGAGGTCCAGCGGTGCACACTGAGCTGGGCAGGTCCCAGGTTGAGCTCAGGTCCCAGGTTGAGGTCCAGCGGTGCACACTGAGCTGGGCAGGTCCCAGGTTGAGGTCCAGCGGTGCACACTGAGCTGCGGTGCACACTGAGCTGGGAAGGTCCCAGGTTGAGGTCCAGCGGTGCACACTGAGCTGGGAAGTTGGCAAAGAGCTTGGCGAAGAGAGTTGGCAAAGAGCTTGGCGAAGAGTTGGCAAGGCGGAAGTGCAGGTGGAAGTTGATGCAGACATGGTTGAGGAGAAACTGGAGGAGGAGGACGAGGAGGAGGAGGACAGCTAGCCGAGGAGGGGGAGAACAACTCTGATAAAATCTAACAACCCTCACCTGGCAGGTGGGGAACATATACTTAGAGCCTCTTAGAGCCTCCAAAGACGCCCAATGGAACAAGTACAAACGCTCATTATTGGGTACATGATTTTTAATGGGTACTTCAACGGAGGGTCTAGGCTGAATTCACTATGGCTCCCCAGGTGCACGATGGGAGCCGCAGGAGCCGCAGCCCATGGAGAGCCAACGGGAAGGGCCGGGTGCCCGTTTTTGGACACCCCCGTTGTGTCAGATTTGATAGCCCTTGTTAAGCAAGGAACAGGACAGTGTCCAGTGTCCATTTTCCAAAAGTCCCAGGGGACAGTCATTCCAGTCACTGGTTCCAGATCAAAAGGTCCTATAGCGAGAGAGAGAGAGAGAGAGAGAAAGAGAGAGATTGACTTATAATAGAAGAGACATACAATGAGATCCAATAAGGAAGTTCTGAGATCTACCCTTCACTAATGATATATAGTTCCGTGACAAAGTCAACAGAGTTTTAGCATCCGTTCCCTATTTTACATATTTTACGCGCACATGTTGACTCTTATATATATATATATATATCATTGCCCTCGCTTAGTATTAAAAATTGAACAGGCAAATCGGCTTCCGGAATAAGCAAACAGAAACATGCACTGAACATTCTCAAGGAGTTGTATGTCCATGCCACTGAAAACAGTACTTAAAGTGATACTTAAATTGAGTCTTCACCGATCCACATTCTTACTGTGGATGGTTGCGAAATCGGATAAACCACCAAAAGGATGGTTGAAACCCTATAAATAACGGGATTTTAAATGTTTACCACTAACTGGTGCAGGATTTCGAAACCATCCACATTCCCAGTGTTTTTTTCAAGCCACGGACATCCACTGTTGGTGCCTGGTCCGCGTCCCCTGTTCCCGGTCAGGAGCCCTTGACTGGATCACCTCAAAGCCGGAAGCGCCATTCCGCGCTGATGGAGGAATTGCTGGAGAAGATGGAAGCCCTGTAACTTGCCATAAATGGGAGTATAGTCACATTAGAGTAAGAGATTAGATATATATATAAATAATAACATGGGAGTATAATAAATGGGATTAATAAATGGTAGTACATAATAACCTGGGAGTATAGTATAAATGGGATTAGAATCCTAAAAACATATTTTTGTATATATATATATAACTACGCATGTATATGATACTACACACATATACATATGAATTACACTAGCTAGCTAAATGCATATTCTTGGGTACTGGGTGGCGTATACCATTCTTGAAACCGTGGCTATTCAGATGGGCCGCTTTTAGCGGATGAGGTCAGTTTTCAGAGGCTGGTAGCCCAATGGAAAATCAAACATGACGATGGACAATCGCCCATCTATAGATATTCTGGTTATGAATTTCCATATATTGGGAAAAATAATCCGAACTGACTAATGTATTTCAGAGGGGATGAAACCACCAACCAGTATTGTTTCCCATATAAATGTCAATAGGGGATTTCCGAGCCACGGGAGCAAGTCCGTCTTCCAGACGTATCTCATTTTTTCATGGAGCACCGCGGGCCCCATGCGGGCCCCTCAAGATTGGTGAGTTGCTTTATAGCTAGGTTTACATACGTCTACATCGTATATATATATATATATGTATATATACACATACATATTATATATATATATATTTATTATTTATTTATATACATATTATATATATAAATACATACATATTATGTATACATATTATATTTATATATATATTATATACATTTTATTTATATATACAAACATATTATGTATACATATACATATATAGATATATATTATATTATATTATGCATATTATATATACATATTATATAAACATGGAGTATATAGATTATACACATATTATATATACATAGTTTTTTTTTAAAAAAAATGTATATATGCATATTGTTTAATTATACATGTTATATTTACATAATATATTTACATATTATATTTACATATTATATATATATGCATATTATTTGATTATACATGATATATTTACATTATATATACATGTTATATTTACATCATATATATATACATATTATATGTACATATTAAATGTATACATATTAGTTATACATATTATATATACATACTACATATATATATATTATACATACTATATATATATTATATATATACATGTTATAAATACATATTATTTATATATATATGTGCATATTATTTCATTATACATGTTATATTTACATTTTATATATACATATTATATTTACATATTATATATATATATATATATTTTTCATTTACACATCATATATACATATTATATATGTATATGCATATTATATTTACATATATAGTTTATATATATATATATATGTAGTTTATGTATAAATACATTATTATATATCTATCCATAATAAGATAGGTTTTTTTAGCAACAGACATCTCTGGGCGAGCGAGGCAATCCAAGATCTCAAGCGACGAAGATCCAACCCAGTTGAGGCGAACGAAGCCTCGAACGGTGGATGTAACATGATGATACATGATGTAGCCCAATGGCAACATGATGATTGTCAGAGTATGTCAAAGTCATATCCATGATGATTGTCAGGATTTCTGAGCATCAATGGAATGGTCTTGTTTGTAAAATTGGAACCGGAACCACCCTTCTTTCATAGGAAACACCACGGTTAAAGAGGCTTGATCCAACCTATTTTAGATTGTTTAATATCTACAGGGGAAATTCGTCATTGTAGCTCTTTATCTACCCAGTTGTCCCCCCTTTGTATTCGGGGTGTTGGGAGCAACCTCTTAGATGTGGATGATGATCATTGACATGAGTATGGTGAAACTTAATCAAGCAGGAATTGTCGTTAAGGACCAAGATGATGGAAACGATAGCAGTTCCTTTGCGTTGATTTGCTCTCACTACATTGTGATTCTTCATGCTGGATTTCTGTGGAAGTGACAGACAGTGCTTCGACAGTGCCCCAGCAAAACAAGGCAGCAACATCCTTGAACCTTGACAGGTCATTTCAACCTCTAGATCATATGGAGGTTTCCTGAAAAAGGGGTATACCCCTAAATCATCCATTTATAGATGGATTTTACATTATAAACCAAGCATTTTGGGGATCCCCTATTTATGGAAACCCTCATGGTCAAACCATTATTAATCCAGAATATATATATATATATTATTTACTATATATATATATATACAATATAATAATCCATGAATTATGGAAAACCCCATATACCTTTCAACAGTCCCTTGCAGTTTCCATTGCTGCCGGATCCGGTGAGCTCACAGGCCCTTCCTGGAGCCGGTGGCAGTGGAGCCCATTGTCAGGCGAAGCGCAGCAAAAAAGGTGATATTGGCTGCGAGTAAAGCTGATCTAAATTCTAGTGACTACATATATATATATATACACGTGTATGTATATATATATATATGTATGTATGTATGTATGTGAACGTATGTATGTGTGCATATATATATATATTCTGTAATGTACTCATGGATGGAATGGAATGGAATGGCATGGAAGGGAAGGGAAGGGAAGGGAAGGGAAGGAATGGTATCGTAGATAGACAGCTAGATGGATGGATAGATATGATACACGTGAAGGATTCGTATATCTAGAAGATGCCCCTACATCGGAAATCCGGAGCACCAGTTCTTGAGGCCACCACCATTAGCAGCCGAGCCGCTGACGCACGAAGCGAGGTGCGGCTGAGTGGTGAAGGGATTTGCTTCATTTGTTCAAAGATCTTGGGATCATGATGCATTACTGTGGATGGTTGAGAAATTTTACAGGGTTTCAACCATCCTTTTGGTGGTTTATCGGATTTTGCAGCCACCCACCGTATGATAACACTGAGAGTTGAAGTTTTAGATGATTCTTATTGATTATTCTCCCACTGGCAGCTCCACCACGGCTGGGGAATCTATTTTGACATATGTTGTATTGTAGTCTTAACGGCCCCAGGGTATCCAGGGGTCCGTGGCTACCCTATGTTTCAGCCATACCCGCCGCAGGTGCCGACGGTCATACGAGCTATAAACAAGTGGAATACCAACCAGCCTTTTTTTCATGGTCATGCTTTGACCGTGGCACCTATGTTTTGTTCTTTTTGCTGCTGGTCTAAGTTGAAAAACTTTAGATGAATAGACTATACGTTGATGTGAGGAAATCTTCATCCGATTTCTATTTTGCCAACCTGATTCAATGAGGGAATGGCAGCGATGGCGCTGCAAAACAGAAAAAATACACATGGTGACAGTGATTGGAATTGCCTTAAAGGGAAAACCATGAAAGGACTTGCGGTTTCACACAGTTCAGCAAGCTGAAGTTCCGTCAGAGATTTGCTGATTCCGAAATTTTCGATGTCACGACTGCCTCTGTGTAGATTGAGAATGTTTCACATTCAATATCTATAATGTATTGTAATGTGGTAGATTTAAAACACGATAATAAAGCATCCCATCAACCATTTGAGGTCAGGTTGCATTATCTCAAATAATGGTACACCCAAGTTCATCAACCAAGTTCCAGTTGACCGGGCTTGAGAACCTATGTCAAGGTATGTCAAGGTCCTTTTTGGTCGGGTGAAGGAAAGGAAGGAAAGGATTGAACATACCATGGAAAATCCTCGAAGTAAATGGAAGTCGCTGAGAAAAAAGCAAAAATCATCGAACATACCATGGTCTATTTTCCAGCACGCCATGTTTGACACCCAAATGGGTAGGTGTCACCAGTCACTCCGTGTAGAGATGAAACTGATCTCATGGATCCACCGATTTCTACTGAAGTTCTGGTGAGTCGATGTGGTTTTTGGTCAAATGTCAATCTCTTGGTTGGTTGAAGTAGAATTTCTAAGGCTTCCAGAAGCTGCAGACTCAATCCCAGGCGAATCTGCTGATTATACCTCCCATTTCGTAGAACAAAACACGTTCTCAGGTTTAAATGACTGTTTTATGATGTTATATTATTTATATTTATATTATTTTATGTTTTATGACTGTTAAATGACTGTTCTATATGAGGAACCGACAAAATTATCGTATTAATTTAGTTTTGCTTCACCTTGGCCTTTCCGAGGTTGTGCAAAACCTTCATAACCGATAGGGAACGATCCTAGTCATAAGAAAGAAGTAGCCTCTGGTTATTTAGCATAGCCATGGTATAGATGGCCCATAGCAATAGATGCTTTACCTATTTTCGTAGCTATTTTCATAGCATGGTGGATCTTTCCACTTCGCTATGTTAGTCATAACCAGAGTCAAATCCATGGCCCATTGACCCGCTGCCAGTGCCCGCACTGCATCGCCGCGGCGAAGAGTGGTGAAGTCCATGGCAGCTTGGCAGATGTGGCAGGGATGACATTTACATTATGTATATATATATATATATGTACGTATATGTGTATGTGTATATATATATATATATGTGTTTATGTGTGTATGTAAATATTGTATATATATATTATACATATTTATTCGTATAGGTCTATCATTCATTATTGGGTTTATCATGTAAAAACCGCAATCCCCACATGAATTAAACATCAATCGGTGGTTTCCATAAAATGGGAGTACACGAACAGATGGATGGTTTATTTCATGGAAAGTCCTATTAAGATGATGGATGATGAGCTGGGGTACCAGCTTTTTAGAAAACTTCCATGTATGTACGGTATGTACATATGTATGTATATATATATATACTTATATATATATATATGTATGTATGTATGATTGGAAATAGGGTATACCCCCAACTATAGCTTTTTAATAGGGAATCCAGGGGTACATTATTTCAGACCCATATGGAGGTTTCCGAAGTCACGGGGGCACCCCCAAAACATCCAGTCATTAGACCATTTTGGTATTGAAACCCACAGTTGTAGTATGGAAATGTCCGGAATTATTTCGGGTATTTATATACGGATTGACTGGAATCGAATGGGAAAGTCAATGGGATTACAAGGGTATGACCATTCATAGCTGTAAGCTTGCAAGTTCCTTGTCCAACTCCAGAGTGCTCAGGGGAACTGGACGGTGGAAGCCAGAATTGCACAACAGCTGGCAGAAAAGAGACTTGGTTCATCTTGGTTCTTGCGGGTGTTACGTCCAATCAATCCCATTCTGTCGGATGGTCCCAAATATATGTGAAAACCCCCCACTGAACCATGGTTTCTGGGGGATGTTTTAATATGAGGGGGAGGCGATTGCTGGCAATCAAGGTCAAACTCCCTGTATTTTGCGGGTCATGCTCAGTGGCCCAAGATGATACCATGGGAATTCCATGTCATCCTTTGCATGGAGCAGAAATATGACGTGTAAGCAGTGCCAGAAACCAAATTGGAAAATCCTCCAATAATGTTTGGTTTTCAGAGGGAGTCCATGTATAGTATTGTAGAATTGATAATATAGTGTTTGTATAGTATAGAAATGAATATTTTCATATGTATGAAGTGTATATATATATATATTTAACATATGATATGGATTATCATAGAATTGCATATCATAGTATAAGTATACACGTGTCAAGTCTATGTGTATATATATTTATATAATCTATGCAATGGATTATTGACAAGGGTGATCACATATACCCTCTGGTAAACTAACATAAATATGGAAAATCACCATTGAATTCGTGAATTTTCCCATGAATAGCATGGTGGATCTTTCCATAGTTATGTTAGTTTACCAGAGGGTAATCCCCAATAAAAAGGGCAGGTGAAGCCGAGGCTGGCGGCAGAGGTGCGGCTCTTTGGGACGGTGATTCCGGACATGAAGAACTTCCACGAGGTCGTCGAGTCAGAGGGGCGTGTCCCTTTGAAAGGAGGCCGAAGGTTGGGAAAAATCCTACTAAAACATGGTGGTTTATGGTGATTTATGGTGATTTACATTAGACCTTTCCCATTTTTTCGGGGGTTACTAAGAAAAACTTTCGGAAGTTTCCACAATAAATTGGAGCAGAGTCTGACATTTGAAAAGCCGGTGAAACCACGCGAAATTGTAAAATTCAAGTATGTCGGGTGCATAGTTTTGGTGGTATCCTAATTGTGGGAACCACCCATAAATTTGTGATTCATGTCGCCCTGATCCGCACAAATGGAAGATCTCAAGTAATGGAGGTAAACCTAATGCCATACTCACCGAAAAAATCATGGGTTTCTTAAATTGGGCACACCCAATTTTTGTGGATGATGTCCTATTATGACCCCCACTTTGGGTTGGTTACTTCCGGGTACAGCGCTACTGAATGAGTACTCGTGGCCAACACTTTAAGGGGACCCATCTCCAATATAACCCTGCACCAAGAGGTTGGTGTTGTATATATGTTATATATATACTGTATGTATGTATATATATATATTATAACATATATATCATTTGCTATTATATAATCATAATTTTTATGTTTAGTGTTGATTTCCGGTTTTATATCCTATTGTACCACCATTTGCTAAATACGTCATTTTTGTTTCGTCTCTGGAAATCTGGTGGCTACAGCAAAGCAGAGTTGGCTGTTGAACGGGTGAAGGCCCCCTATAACTTGGTGGATTGTTGGGTTTATATATGGAGGATAAACCAAGAAACATAAGTGGAGGGGGCCTCACCTCGTGAGAATTCCGTCAAAACTTGAAAAACACATGTCCGGTAAAACAGGGGGATGGGAAGAATCAATCCATTTTCGTAGGGATTGGTATTTCTAATTATCAGGATTCCAACTATGGGATGGAAGATGGTGAACCATATACCATGTTTTGAACATAGCACACATACTTTTAGATAATTGGTTGGTGTTTCATAGGTTGCTTTCTGTTGGTTTAGCTCACTACGTTGACGATCTGGTTTATGATGACTATGACAAATGCGCTAAACCCAATGCCAAAGTCATCACCATAAATGATTATAAGTGGCTGGTATAAAGCATGCCCAGTCATGGTAGGTTTCTGGCATTGGCTTTCCCACATTATTAAACCATATTTTGATAAGCTTACAAACCAAGAAATACATTTCACCACTTCCTAACCAGCTCCGAAATTTGGGCGGTCATAGTGAAGCCCTAAGAATGTCACTGTGTGGGTTATTAATAAAACACTGGTTGGTGGTTTCAAACATTTTTCATAATATATGGGATAATCCTTCCCATTGACTAATACGTTTCAAGATGGTTTAAACCACCAACCAGAACAAGTTGCTCAAATCAGGGCGTAAGAATCCAATATTTGGGGGGTCACATTTGGGGTGCGATGGATCCAACAACAAGACACATGCACAGAGAGAAGCAGAGAATGACACGCACCTTTGAAACTTGAAAGACTGTTGAAACACGTGTAATTATATCTTTAATTTTTCTAGTTCATCCATCCACTTATCTGATGAGTTTCCCGATCCAATATCATCCTTTTTGCAGTTTCCTGGATCCGAAGAACATCATTTGTGGGATGATTATGCCGTCACCGATCTGTTACGTGGAACGCGGGGTTTCCTCATGGAAGACCCACTGACCATGTGGGCATGATTTTACGTCGCGAAAAGAAACATATCAATTTGCCATCATATCCCTTCAAATCTCTTAAATAACGGGTTTGGTGTACTATGACTACCCCTCAAACATCCAGCATCAATATTCCACCATTATGTATACATATATGTTATATATATACATATTATATATATATATTATATTATATATA